GCTAGGCTTAAGAAGAAAAAAGAGCAGGTAAAGAAAAGTACATGTCCTGGGTCATGTAAAATAGAGAAACCAGTATCATAGCACATGAATACCTTTTCTCAGATCTATTTTTAAGGTAATGTACATGCAGGATTCTGTTCTTAGATATGCAAAGTTTAAACTATACTTCCAAAATTGAGTATAGGTATACACTTTCTGTCTGTTTTGTTTTTTCTGTTCTGTACAATTTATTTTGCCCGTCAGAGTGTTTAGTCTTGTTTCGTCAAACACCAATTACTATTAACTTGATTAGCCTTAAGTGGGTAATAGATTGACTTTTTAGACCTAAGAATTAGATATTTTACCACCCTCCTTTTAGTAGTTACTGCTTCACTAGCCAAGGGAAGATTACATGATCAGGAGTCTATACTTGAGAGATAGCAGGATGAGCCCTTCAGTTCCTTCTGGAAGTGAATTATTTGAATTGGCTATAATTTTCTGGAGGATGCAATAAACAAGATCAATTTCCTTGTCAGCTCTGATGTTCTCACTACAGCTCTGAGGATTGGGGTCACTCTCTCCTTCCACTTAACCAAGGTCTTAGCCCATAGTGACAGACTAAGGAGAGACATGGCTCCTTACCTCCCTGTCTCATTCACTTGGTCTTGTCCCCAGTGCAAAAGCCCTAACCTGTGGGAATCCTGTGTTTTAAATTTTCAGTTGCAGCAGGAAATTGAAGACTGGAGTAAATTACATGCCGAGCTCAGTGAGCAAATCAAATCATTTGAGAAGTCTCAGAAAGATTTGGAAGTAGCTCTCACTCACAAGGATGACAATATTAATGTAAGCACATTTTCACGAATACAAGCTTAATTCTTGTGAATTATCATGAAATCTGTTGAACTAAAATGGAAAGACTTTAATGCCCTCTTACTTCTTTTCTAGGCTTTGACAAATCGCATTACACAGTTGAATCAATTAGAGTGTGAATCTGAATCTGAGGATCAAAATAAAGGAGGAAATGATTCAGATGAATTAGCAAATGGAGAAGTGGCAGGTAAGATCAGTCTCAAGGAGGATGGACCCCTTTTCCCTTCCTATCTTCAGGTACACTAATGCTACTGTTTAGCTGGTTGTATTTCCTCTTAAGCTTTAGAGTTGTTAACACATATCACTGGATTTGTGTATGTGTCTATTTGCATTGGGCATTGGTGGATTGCTAGGGTATGGCATAGAAATGAGCATGCAAGGAACACTGACTTTGTTTTTACATCTCCTTGAGACTAGAAGGGTGCACGGGAGCTGCACTGGTCATGTCTTACACCTCTAAGTATTGAACATATACAGTAGTAGAAACTGTATTTTTCAATTGAATGGAGATAACATTTTAAAACTCATCATCTCAGGAGCTGTTTGGTTTTAAGGCCCACCACTGATTTTAAGAGTACTAAGGTGATTGGAGGCATAAACTAAGGCTGTGGGAGAAAACCACAACTGGTTTTAAGAGTACTGAGGTGGTTGGATCCAGAAACTAAGGCCATGAGAGTGGAAGCTATAGGGTAGCAGTGTTTACTGATGAGGAAAGTGTTTCTACATGTTGTCTCTCAAGTTGGATATTGTTTACCTAGTGAGTGTTTTAAACCACACTTGATAGAAGATTCTGGAGGAGAATAGGAGGGAATGTTTCTGAATGAGACACTTACTAAGCCCAGGTGGAGACATATCTGAGATAGAAGACAGAGCTTTATCTCACATGTTTCTTCTTGCTCAAGAATGGCATGTATAACATGTTT